CTGATGCAGTTATCTAATGCAACCTGGTCTGCGGGTATGTGTATGTGATGGTGAAGATGCAGGGTCTGGTCTGTGGACGAACTGATCGTCCATAAGGCCGTTACTACGGTATTATCACCCTTCACCAACCAGAGGAGAATATCGAGTTTTATTAACGTTATGTAGAGTTCTGAAGTAACTCTACTGAATTAATGATGGGGAAAGGAGAATAGGAGCAGTGTTTCTTTCTTCACATGACACATACGAAATGTGATGGATGATAGACTTCGCTGGGATCGTGCTACGCAAGTAAATGACTGAACCATTTACCCACGTGCATGTAATTTGATCCCCGAAAGCGTGGTTTACCCGTACACGTACGGGGTGAAGCCGTGCGAGTTGCAGTAGTTTCGACGGCGGGCGGATATGTTTAATATCAAACGCCACTTTCGGACTCGCCCTGTCATGATCGAAATGACGAGCAGGTCATCTCACCGTGCATATATGAACTAATAATTCGGTACCTAGATCTGATATGGGTTGTATGGATGTTTTAGTGCCGACCACGTGTTTAGGCAATTAAATCTACCTAATTCCCCTAGACTAGGGGGTATCCGCACGATGTATCATGACCTTTGATACATGGTAAAGGCATGTAAAGGGTCTGAGGGCATGTAGATGATTTGACCCTGTACATCAATCCACCGGGCCAGAGACGGCGCCGTGATGGTTTCTCGATGGCGTTGTGATCCGCATAGGAACCGCTGGACTGGATCACGGAAGTCATGGCTTGCCGGTGGCTTGTACTATGTAAATAGTAAACCGACTACATACATGTATGTAATGTAACTATGTAGGTAAATAGACTTAAAACATGTAGTTTATGTAAATGGTTCATTTAATGTTTCGACTCATTCCTAAAAACGACCGAAGGTTTGCCCGGGCCGTGCTTTTTGCCCTTCTACTTCAAGCTTAAAAGAAATTGGAATGCCGTTGACTAAGCCTTGTTTTAGCAGTTGTTTTAGCCTTGAAGAACCCCATCTGGCAGATATGACGTTGTCCAGATCGTGAACTGCCGCTTTTATTTATTTTGTTCATTTAAGTAGTAATTTAACAATGGCGTAACTACTACTCAACTACTACTCTTGTTGATTACGCTTTCCCTTTTCGACCTCTTATACATACGTACATAGTAGGAGGTAGGGTGAGTACGTACGTCGCGGGCAACTCTACTACCTAATCTACATATGTACATAATGTACTTACTTGTGGCTCTTACATGTAGCCTATGAGGGCAGGATATATGTATGTAGTATACTCCGAGCAAGTTTATACTGTCAACATTCTGCAATCTGTAACTTGAAAAGTGTGGCTGCATGCGTACCACATCTTCGTATTGCTCACTCGCTGCTACGGATGAGGTTGTATTTTAATAGCTTTTTGTTCTTTATCAGGAATTGAAAAAAAAAAAAAAAAAAGGGTTCTCAAGGGTTTTCATCCTTTCTTTCACCATCCGCCCGGGGCATACTACATAGTATATTAGCCCACGGTCACTTTTATTAAGTCGTTGATATTGATTGGTCATAGCTCAAGGGTTTTTTCGTCCATTGAAAATTATTCAATTGTGTCATTTGAAATATGTGGAGGCACTTGAAAAGACTGGCTAATGCTGCATTTCCCGCCGACTAGATTCTAGCCAATCAACTGCCTTTCGCATTGGACACCTCAAATCCTCTTCCCGACATGTTTAAAAGCTATGACGACACCCCGGTAATCGCCAAGAGATTTCCCCCGTCAATGAGGTTAATGTAACTGTATCTCCCTGACCCGGAAGCAAGCATCATCGCAGATAAGTGCCAGAGGAGAGAAAAAAAAAAAAAAAAAAACCGACCAGTAAGGTACATAGTATTTCGTACAGGAGTCCCTACATTCGGGGACTTCTACATCGTGTCAATGACCATTACGATGCACTTTTTATCCCGTCGTAGTCGTTGTAGTCGTCGTCACCTATTACGAACTCATCGTATATGTTGCTCCAGATGCCCAGTCTTCTACTTGCAGGGCTAAAGGATATATGATAGATGATGTTGTACAACTGTCAACATTTCACCGCATGGGGTGCAAGATGCTGGAGTAGACGAAACATAGTCTACGCCCACCCTACACACTACATATTCGCTTACCACATAGCTGTCGGGTTGGTTAGATTGAGCCCCAGATGCCCCTCCCCATCTATCTATTAAAGACTACCATAGACAGGGCCTCGTCGGGGCGCCGCCGTCATACTTGTACAGGCCTTCCTTCGCTTGCCAATCCTGACCGACGACGTCAGTCTTGTGAGCACTGGGCAATAGCCATTCAACTTCCCCCGAAGCAGTACCGCTTAATTAGCTTCGAGGACTTGGGGAGCTGGCCCGACTGGCTCGAAGATATCGTCATACATGCAACCCTCGGTTTCATCCCGAGCACTTTTGGTTTGTAAAGTCCTACTCCATTACTCCATACGTATGTAAATGGTAGGCGTGGCTATTCCATCGTCATTTCTCTGGTCCTCTGGTCCTCTGGTTGGATTCATTCCATTCTAATCACACTGCGCCGTAATCGCTGTTCTAAAAATGCCAAGATATCGTGGGCTGGACACGAAGGCCACACTGCCGCCACGATTATAGTGCGGGACCGAACATAAAAATACTTGGCTTAGATGCCGTTGGGTTTTCAATACGATGGAAAAAGAAAATACGCAGGATGGGAAAAAAATTGTGGTAATTATTAGTTCCGGATAAGAAAGACAAAACAAATTTCCCTTTCTCCAGCGCCATTTCTTTCCTACTTATTCATCATCCCTTGACACCGGGACAGAGAACTCCGACTGTCTTTAGTCATCAAACGTGTGTTCAATGATGTTGTGTCTTGGATCATGGAAAAGTAGGTGCATGTTCTTCGCTCACTTTGAGGAACCACTTTTATGGAGCATCTTAATTGTATCCAATCACTATTTACACACCGCATGACGTAGGTAGTTGCCAGGAGACCTAAGCTAGGTCACTCTTAGCTTCATCCTTCCCACCAAAGAGGAAAGGGTCATGTTGTGGGATAGATGGGAAGCCCGACTGCAAGTACCGTGTCCAGATATGGTGTAGCATATATACATACCCTAATACCGAAACTCCTCTTCTTCCACCCGTTACTCACTACCTAGAGTAAATGTGACAATTTTTTTCAGATAGGCTCATATCGTAGTTACCCAGGGACGGTAATAAAGTAAAAATAAAGACACAACATTAGGTATAAAAAAAAGAAATAACTAATAGAAAATAGACTTACGATAAAAGCGCTGAAGCCGGCTTTGTGCTCCCTTCAGACCCTGCATAACGGCAACCCCCATCCTCCCATCCTCCGCATCAGTGGCGTAAGCTAAGAATGAGCCTTATTGCATACCTGCCTACCTAACCTATTCATGTATGTACAGTACTGCCTTCCGTCCATATATTGTACTTCATACGTGTACCTACGGTACATTGCCTAGTATCTATACGGAAAGCGGACAAGGGTTGTCTGTTTGGTTAGTGTCCACCCGTACCGGTACATACAATTAGCTAGCCATCCTGCCATCCCAGCCGCCGCACCCCCCGTAGCCTTAGCCGTAGACCCTTGCCGTTACCTTCAACCATACCCTGCCATGTTCTCATTTGCGTACCGTACCTACCGCGGTACACACACTCTCTTTCTTATTACATACCTAGTTTTTATGGCATTTCCCGTACCTCAACTCTCTCTTTTTTTTTTCTTCTTTCGCCTCCGTTAGAGTATTCGATCCCTGTGCTTCTTGTCCCACTCGCCCCAATTTATCACTCTGAGGTGCGGGTTAGGGAGACCCTGATACCCTGGATGCTTTTAACAGGCCCGCGCTGGAATTCCCTACTTCTTTAATTCTCTAATGCTGCTAGTTGACGTACTAGCTGGCCACTCCCATCACACCTAAACTACCAGGAACTTACCAGGACTACCTAACATAGGTAGCCGAATAAGACGGACAATCTATGTATGTAAAGCTTGCCATCCTGCCTTCTCAGCCTGTGCCTCTTCCGCTTGTCACCTCATAAACGCTTTCGACGGAACATCTCACGTCTCGACGTCGATCAACCACGGCTAAACCGCACAAACCGCCGTCTATATTACGGAACATCTAACTTCGTCCCCAAACACCAAAACAAAACAAGTTGATAGAGGACTATATACATACAAAGATCAACGTTCGTGCTGCGATTTCTTACCTAGGTCGCCTGTAACAACAAGTATACTCGCTCGAATTATATGTACATCTGACCTCCCGGATATCTGGCCGCTGCTGATCTTCTACGCTTCGGTCTTGAAACGAGCCACCGAACTCCACATTCTCATGATCAGTCAAGACCTAAAACGGCTGCTATCAAATTGGACACCATCTTTCCAAATTTCAGCCCCGGTTCGATCTTTTCAATATCCTACCCTACCGTGCTCTGTGTAGCACCCTACAGTGTGTCCAACCCTGTCCCGACCTGCTTTAGTACGGGACATTGGATTGTCGATCAATCTGTTCACCGTCGTCACTGGACTTGCTGTAAGCTAAGGGCATTGGTTCCACCTGTCCCAATTGCTGGAGAGCGTTAAGCTTCAGACGATTGGACTGGCCTTAAAAGTACCGGCCGACCCCAGTGTGTACCTTCGTTCACCTATTCGGGGGTTCCTAGTCGCATACTTCCTGAAGTGTCCTGCCAAACACACTTAAGGCTCGCTGATCCCCCTCCCGTAGCTCGTGACGGATCTTCTTCACTGGATCTTGAGAGACAAGTCACCGCCTCGGCAAGGTGACACGAATCTGTGCCTCTTCGGGATCCCGCATCTGATCAGCGAACTATTCCAAACTTCCCTATCTATCTTCTTTTTTTTTTTTGACAGGGAAAATTAAGGAGTCGGGTTCAAGTGTTGGAAAGCCTCATATTTCCAACCATTCTTATCTGATATATTGCGTCGAAGATGACTATGACTCTTGACAATCAATCACGACTCGGGGCCCTCAACTTCGAACACATGTCTTCCTACTCCAACCCTCCGCATTTCACCAACCCCTGGGCCGCGGGCCCACCTAGCCAACACCATGGCAGCCACGGCATGTACTCGCAAGGGCTCAATGCCAACTTGGGTGGCCTCGACTCTATGGCCAAGCAGCACGCCGCCAGGACAGGCACCAGTGGTGCCTCAATGGCATCATATGGGAGCATCCCGGTGACGGCATCTTCAGCAGGTAGCACTCTCATGGCGGACCTCTATGGACAGCAGGACTTACTCAATATGCCGCAAGATCTTTTAAATTTAAACCGAATGCAAACAACGTCAGCTGGATACGGAGAGCCCGCGTACGCGACAGCGACGGCGGCCTCTCCGGTAAACGCGACGTACTCGGCGTCACCGAATTCCTATGATAGCGTATCCGGGTACGCGCCGGCACCAATGCGCTCAACGTTCGCTCTCGCGCCAGAAGCCGACAACCGAAGGTATTCCCAATCGTCAATTTCTTCACTGCCGATGGTCGATCATGGCTCAGACGCATCTCGTTCTCACCGGAATTCGTTGGTTGACTTGCATCACAGAGGTATTCAGAATGATGATCGAAGGAGCTTTGCGGATGCTCTCGACGCTGGTCAAGGTATGCTTGCGATGAGCCAAGAGACCCCTAGGGCGATATACCCTCCCGGAAACCGAGGCAGGGGCTCCGCCGACTCATATGGTTTCCCTTCGACACATTCGACGAATTCATCCATCTCCTCGGCGAGCAATTATGGAAGTGGATATTATGCGGGGTCGGTCGATTCATCTGTGAGCGATTACTCGACGGCAGGCTCTGATATTGAGTCGGTCACTTCCCGGACGTTACCTCGACCGAATCTAATGACGCAGCCTCCCCCTGCCCCTCAATCAATGATGGGACAGTTCAGTTCGAAGGTTTCATCGAGTACGCAAAAGAAGCACAAGTGCAAAGTCTGCGATAAGCGATTTACCCGACCAAGCTCACTTCAGACGCATATGTATAGCCATACGGGCGAAAAGCGTGAGTATTGAAACCTTTAGATGTGCGAAGCCGAACCGAAAGCTGACATGAAAGCATAGCGTTCTGTTGCGAAGTTGAAGGTTGTGGGAGACACTTTTCCGTCGTATCAAATCTGCGTCGACACCGAAAGGTACATAAAAACGATGCCAAGTCCGATGCTGGATCGGAAGATCACCACGACGATCACTCCGACTAAAAAAAAACAAGTCAAAGCTTCATGACAAAAATATGTTCAATTGTGCTCAAAGTTACGATTTAGAATTGTTTACGATTATCCTTGTTATGCGGATACCTCATGTTGAATCACGTTCGGTTCGGTCTCAAATGGTTTTAGAGGAGACTAATCACCAGCATCTTTTTTTTCACCACCTGATGCTACCAAAAAATGGGTTGCAAATTCATGTCTCTTGTACGAAGACACCATCATCATATCATCATCGAGATTCGTTTGCGCTGCTGGTTGGAGCGATATCCAGGAGAGTTTGAAGCGCCGGGTGCATGGATGAGCTTATAGATTTGGGTGGGCTCATTTTATGGCATTGTTTTATCGTCTTTTCTTCGCGTCTATCTCTCGTGGCTTCCAGTTGGGTTGGGACAGGCCACACATCACATCTGGGGGGGTATTTGGGATTGTTTTGTTGTTTTTATTTCCCATTCGAGGAGATACCCTCACAGACGGCGTTTGGGATATAGGGGGTCATGGGACGGGCGAAGATCGCATGCATTCGTTTACATCGAGAAGCAGCAGCAGCAGCAGCCTCAGGCGTTTCGTACAATTCCCGTGGCGGCAGCTTCTTGGGAGCGAGAAAAGAGAAAGACCAAAAGTGACACGGACGAGCGAGAGCGAAGAAAGGATAATCTGTATTATTAGCTACGCTTCGCATATACCCCTGGAAGGCAGAGCATTTCTCCCCTGTACGGGGAGCCTCCTTTATGGTGTCTCCTCTCGAGGAAACCTCACATTCGCTACTGCCTTTGTAATCTAATTGTTGATATATATATATATGGCGTTGATACAGAGATGAATGTTTACGGTATACTTCGCAGTAACGTTAAAGTGCCAGGTAAAATTTAATAAAGTGCCAACCCATCCACTTTGCACGTGATATACGCCACCACAAGCCACCACCACCACATTAAAAATGGCCCGTTCGTTCGACCTTGTAAACACTCCCATTTAATAATTATATTATAAAAATACAGGTGCATCGTTACGAAATAAATCGAGAAAATTTTGGACAGATTTTTCGATTTTTTTTCATTTAATTATTAAAATTTTAATATTTTTTACAAATTTACATGACTTAAATTTGTAAAGTTATTAATAATATAAAAAACCATTAAAGTTAAAAATTATAAATTTAGCCGCATCCGGGTCAATATTGGTCCGAATCACGTGCAGTTAAATTTAAAAAAATTATTATTTTTTAATTAAATTTATAATGTTTTTTTTATTAAATTCGGACTTATATTTGTAAAGTTATCATACATAAATAAAAAATTTAAAAAGTTTTATTTAATATATATTATTTTTTATTACGTAATTAACATTATATTTTATTATATTATATATTATATTTTATATTATTTTTATATTATTTTTATATTATTTTTATATTATTTTTTAAATCTTTTAATATTTTTTTTATATTTTTTATATATTTTTTTAAATGTTATATTAATTTTTATAAAAAAATAAATATAAATATAAAAAAAATATTTTAAAAAGTTAAAAAATAATAAATAAATGTATAAAAAATCATTATAATTTTTTTTATAATTTCTTATAATTTTTTAAGTTTTTTAAAATTTGTTTACAATTTTTATATTTTATATTATTTATATAAAAATATGGTTACATTGCGAGTGGAGCATATACATGGATTTAAACGAACGGGCCATGTTTTACATGGCCGTGCGTGGTGGCTTTATGTGGCGTATGTGGCGTATGTCACGTGCAAAGTGGATGGGTTGGCACTTTATTAAATTTTACCTGGCACTTTAACGTTACTGTATACTTCGGGCTCGAATATAAAATTACACTTGGCATATGAAACATGATTTTACGGGCAGTATTTTCTTGCAACATGCGTACTACGATCCTTTCCTAACTACACATTATTTACTACTCAGAGACAAGTCGGTGCGATATTGACGACCTATGTAGGTAGAGATAGAGTGAAAAATAAAAACCGGTATATACCGAGCGGAGCCGGGTTCCAACCGAATCTTCGTCAGATCCGGAGACGCTAGTAAGCTCCCTTACAGCAGCGTAGGTAGGTTATCTTTTAGCATATGTATAGATAGTACGATATCTGGTCGACCGGCTGGTCGAGCTGGGGAAACCCTGACTCGGCCGACTCCTCTATACTAATATACTAACTAATATCTACGCGTGTATGTATTTGCCTAGTCCGGTGATATTCGGGTATCCCGAATGGAGAACCTTCCGAGCGTTATACATATGTAATATACTATTACCTTAGTAGGTAGATACATATAGACCTACCTAACCTAGGTAGTTATAGGAGGTAGGTAGAGAGTCCACTTATAATATAAAAAAATATAAGCATAAACATAAGCAGAAGAAGAAGAAAAAAAAAAGCCGGACTTTGTCTCCCGTCCCGCTACGGAGCTTGACTGGCATCGGGATTGGCACGAAGCACGTATTGGCGGTTCCTTTCCCAGTTTATTATCCATCCCATCGGTTACCACCCACATAACGCAACTACATACATCTTGGGTCTTATCGAGGACTTCTGGTGGTCTAATTTGTTATAGGTATTCGCCCTGCCTATCCGGAAGGAGAGAGATCCATCCTATTTCCATTTCGTGCGTTGTACACTCCCACACGCACACACGCACACACGTATGTATGTATTATTATTATTAAAAAAAAATTTTGACAAAGAGAGAGCAAGAGAGCGAAAGAAAGACGCGGGACGCATGCAACCCACATATACTCCCCCCCTCCGTCGGTGAGCCGTTAGGATTCGCCCATTCGTGCTCGTAGATGTAGATTCGCGGAAAAGCGAGAAAACCGGGATCTAAAAGGGCCCGTCCGAGTCGTGGTAGGTATCTTACCTACCTACCTAACATGTGTACATCCCCATCTCATCCTTCCCCTACATCCGCATGTAAAACCGCCGCGAACAACGTTGTTGCTGCTGACTACTTTTCGCCGCCTTCTATTCTCGGTTTTGCTTATTTCTTTTTTTTTGTCTGGTCTGCGAGATGAGCTATCGTTATGCCTGCGAGATGGTTGCCGCTACATACATACTATGTAGGTACATACCTACCTTATGTACCGTACTTAGGTACCTACCTAGGTACCTATTTATTATTATCGCAATTCGGTCATATTTAGACATTTTAGACTCTATCAAGTACCTAATTTACGTACCTGCTTCCTATTTAGGCTTCCTACGATCGTCACGGGCTAGCATCTTAGCTTTTTAGGATTAGGATTAGCAGTAGCATTAGCATTAGCACAGCACCGCCGCCTGTCCACATGCACATAAAACGTACAGCTACAGAGTTGCAGTTGCAGTTGCAGTTGCAAGTCTACCACTACCACAGTTACAACCAAAGGCCACAAATTACAATCGCGGGCGGGCGACGGCGGCTCTTACCCACCCCCCTTCGAAACTTGAAACACGCTTAATGCTGCGACGCTACTCTAGTGCACCTGCGCTACTGTATATTATGTGGATTTCTCTTAATGTGCTTTCCTGTTTCTACAACTACTTAGGTACAATACCTACTATGTAATACCTTAATCCTCTTTTTTCCCCATCCTCTTGCTCCAAGGCTGATATACTACATACCTATGTAAGAAAAAAACCGGAATCAAGCCATCGACAAGACTGCCAAACAGGGCAACTCGTAATCTCATTCGCCTGCCGCCTATCTGCTAGTGTCCCGGGCCATGTAAGGCTATTCATTAAAAATCGTATCATTATGACAACGTCTCCTCCAAATTCGTTGGATGATTAGATATTTTCCCCGCGCGCGCTCCCTTTCAACTTGCGGCCGCGGGTATCTCGACTACTGTCGATAAGCTTGCTAGCTTGTATATAGTAGTCCTACGCTTCCTCCGGTGGCCCTGCGTATCGCGCTTGTTTCTCTGCGAGCAAGTTAGGGGGCGGGAGAGCCGCGATCCCTTCCTAGATCGGCTCGGCGATTCTGACTGGCTCCGCACGAGGAATCCGGAGAGGATAGCCTGCCTACCTATTACGGACAGCGCGGCTGACCCGAAGAACAACGACGACGTCAGCGGTACCTTTGTGCCGCTGCCATGTGCTACTGTATTTAGGGGTATTATTCAGCAGTCCCGTCCTAGATCTATCCTTTAAATAATATGTGGGTAAATTACAAACAAAGAAGGTTGCTGATGTGGCCTCTTCTTTGCCGCTGGAGGCAATAGAACAACACGATAGGGATTGTTGGCTGTGTAGCCGTCAACAAGCGTATGAGGATCCTTACCAACTGCTACGTGTGTAGCGGAGAGATCCTGATGGCACCTTTCCACGTGAGATGGTGCCTGGATACCTCCACAGTTGCTCCGGCACGATGTTTGATGTGTGCTGGGTTTCTATGCTAACGAGACCGCCTTGGAAGGTCGTCCCAACCTAGACGTATCAGTTACACGCTTAATAGTCAACCAGGACCATGGTTCTACATTGTAACTCTTCATCCACGAATAAGGCCAGCCAAAGGCCCGATTCTGTCCACTGAGCGGACCTCTGGTGGAAGATGAGGAGCGGACCACGTTGGAATGGATCTCAACGGAAGACTACTAGATGGGCGATGGATATGTCCCCCCATAGTAGATGTGAGAAGTACGAAGTACGTAACGTGTCACTGACGACAGCTGAGGCACCCCATCCGCACACCAATGAAGCTGGTTTGCTTTTGCTGCCCCATTCTTCCTGTCGGGTGCCACTCTAGCGCAGACTATTGCGTACGAAGGGATAGGTCGGAGCGGAGAGAAGAGCAGAAGGGAGCGGCAAGCGAGGAGAGGGGTAGAACACAAGCCAGTCTATACGGCACTTGAGAATTGGCATCACGGATGGTCGTATGCTAGCAGGAAGGCTGGTCTCGATATCTAGAAGCCGGTCCAATGGGCCAACCTATGTATCTTTAGACGAAACGTCCCGCCCAATGACGACACAGCTGCTGGTTGGGTGCCTTATGACGTCGGTCTAGTACATGGGTCGGGCTACGGCCGACGAGTTCAAATCGGTGGATTCGGCCAATGGAGACACTAGAGGGTCAAACAGCTAGCTAGCTAGCTACGCAGCTACGACAAGGAAAAGAGCATTGGCCAGGTGGTTGTGAAGTCTCAAAGCCATGACTTCGCATCGTACAGCCACATGTACAGGACGTTGTGATCTTCAGGGTCTTCCTTGTGCAACGAGGTCTGCGGGGAGACGGGCGCTCGCTGGTGGAAGGACACACGGTTCTTCGCGTGATTGGGAGGTGTAACTTGGACTCGAAATATTTCTGGTTTGAATTCTCGTTTTCTCCAGATTATCCCAGGTCACTGTTGCGAAAGCTGCAGTAACACCCGAAGAATTGTCGAAAAGTGATGCAATATGGGATTCATGGGATCCCCTTTCGCCACTTGGGGATCGAAGAGGGGGGTGCCGTGCGCACGTTGCTGTTTATATAAACTATGCGACGAGAGATTGAGGCTTAGACGAATCCGCATCATGCCCGTTGGGAACGGGGGGGCAGACGGGGGTGTGTTCAATCTCACAGGATGCATAACTAGGTGCTGGAACAGCGGAGCGGATAGGATGAGATGAGATTCCTTGAAACGAAACCATGAATGATCCGTCACCCGCGCCGACTTTTGATGAATCTGTCTTAGCTGCTTACATAGTAGGGTCTCTTCTGAGATGACCTTTTACTGACAAAGTGGCAGGTCATCCCCGTAATAGGGTACATAGTATACCAAGGGAAATCGCCAAGCTACAGGCCAAGCTTTTTTTTGCTTCGAATCCGTCGACGCGTTTTCGTAGAAGGACGGAGCAATTGGTGTGTGGCCCTGGGGTGGGAAATGGGCAAGGGAAAGGATAATTTACCTTACTGTGGTGCACGTATCTTGCATGACGACCTCCACAGTCAGATAGCTTCTTTTTTTCCGCAGTGCCGCTCTCCTTCCCCATGGAGTATCGCGTTTCAAGTCCTCTCACTGCCGGGCTCGATAGATTGGATTGGACCTGTTCCATGTTGATGGCCGTGGGTCTTCTTGGGAAGCTCTCTCAATTCATGGATCTGGAGTATGTATTGCACCTGGGTCAAATACAATACATTACAATACATAGGTAGTGTACTATGTAGCCAGCAGCCAACAGTTTTCTCCAAGTGTGTTAAATGGTTCGTGTGTCCTATCCGTTGTCGAGTCCACAACGGTCGACCGGGAGAAGTGGTAACGGCAATAATACATACATAGTAATAGGTAACGATAGATAATTGGAGAACTGGGGACTTCGGGATGCTCATTCGACAGTCAGTGTCGGATCTACTTAGATACAATAGGTATGTAGAGGTATGTAGAGGGGGGCCAGGGGAGAGAGAGGGCATTGCGAATATTGGCGCAATTTTGAGGGCGGTCGTTGGGAATTGCCTTTGGGGGCGGTCAAGCGAGGTTGAAAATGACATCATCTCGCATGGTGGTTTTCTTGCTAAGATTTGGTGCGGGATTATGATTGGAAGTTAGCCCCGGTAGTGGTCCACACAGATATGTGCAGGGGAATCCATAGCCTGCGTAAATATTGGCAGGGATGCGACAGCTAAGCCATTAGAGACACGCCCCTCCTCGTTCGTTATCAATCGCGGTACTACACGTACTACACACGTACTATGTACTATTGGCCATGTAGGAAGTACCTGGCTTTCTCCACAGCGGAATACGCATGGAGGGTACAGATGCGGCAGAATTCGGACACTCAGAAATCAGCAAGAGCTGCCACTACTGCGACTACCGCAGGCCGGTCTATTATATAATGTACCTCTACTCTATCATGTACCTAAGGTACAGCTACACTTTATATATATAAAGGTAGGGTTAGAGTAGTATACGCACTTATACGCATATATTAAGGTCGAGAGTATATACCCCGTCTCCATAATGGGCATTGGTCAAATGCCATTTTTGGAGCTATGGGAATGCGTTTGTTGCGCATACAAGTCCCTTTTTCCCTAGGTTAGGTATATAATCTTTTTTTTTTTGTTACCGTCGCTTTATTTTATATTAATATAACTATACATTTATATAGTTACATGATGTAGATTCTCGCAATTTTCCGAATAAATACCTTTACGGAATTGAAATAAACTACATATACTTTTATAATATCTTTAAATACGAAGTATACATTTAACTTAGTTATCGTGTACGTAAACAAATGTCTCGGAGAATTCCCATAGGTATTGGGGTCTCGTTCCTAGGTATCGTTGTCGTTTGTATACTATTATGTACACTATTATGTAGGTACTATGCTAGTAATATATTAATATAACGAATGTAATCAGTCATCTCGCTAATTACATCCATCCCGCATATTTGATTAATCAAATTGTCATATATATCGCTATCGTTATTATATTACATATAATTTCACCCAGCTATGCCATATTATGTTATAGACTTTATTACTCCTTTACAATCCATTAGCCTATGTCATATGCACTGGTGGATAGGTAGTATGTAGTATGATATATCATCGTTCGCCTCTTTTTAATTTTTAATTTATTTATTTTTCTTAGATCGTGTAGTTATGTATTATTGATTTATTTTGTTTGTTCGTCTGTTTGCCTCTTCCCCCCTCCCCCCAGCCAGCCGGCCGGCCTAAACCAACCTCACCTCACCGCCTCTTGTTGAACAGATGGATATGTAATGCACGCACGCATAAGCAGGCACGGAGAGGGCCAGCGTCTAACTCACTCAACTTACTCGCTCACGTCCATATGTGTATGTATGTATGTATGTATGTATGTATGTATGTATGTATGTATGTGTAGGTATATGTGTGGTGTTGTCGGTTCTAAGTGGACGGGACGCGGCTTGTCCGTCCCTCGACAGAAAACCCGGGGTTCCCTTGTCCTTCCCTTCCCTTCTCTCTGCGTGTTCTGACCTGCTCATGCACGACTGCCGATCCCTGCCGAACTGTGTGCGTGGTCAGAGTCGCATACCTGCCGACGAAGATATATTTAAGTATTGTACAATACATCACCGCTGCCCCCCCCCGCGCCGGAATGTAGTGTATCCTATGTATCGTATGGATATGTGTACCTATGTAATGCTAGGTAGGTATACTACACATTTACACTAGACACTACGTATTGGATACATGCCAGTCCAACGCACGTGAAGGAGGATCCCGCCTCTAGTATGTTCTTACTGCCGGTTGTAGACCGCTCTCAGTGCCTTGCCTTGCCTTGCCTTGCCTTGCCTTGCCTGCCTGCCCGTGGGTAGCAACTACGAAGAAGCAGAATGTGTATACCTATGTACGCACGGTAGTTGAGCTACGTAACAGTTCGCCGCTCCGGAGTTTCGAGCAAGACATTGACTCTAACTCCCTACCTACACACACTGGTGACCGTCATCATATGTAGTCAGGATCATACATTATGTAGTTAGGATGTGTGTATGTATCACCTCGCTCACGTACGTCCGGCTTACCTTGATAGGGAAAAGGGGAGAAGGGTTTGTTTAGCCAGAGAGACCTTGGCGCTTACTAGCCTTGTCTAAGCCTCAGGAGGATAAATATTAAAAGGGGGAGGGCAATCACGCAATCGAAGGGTCTGTCACTATGCCTGTATGCCTGTACGTAGTAGTAATAGTAGCAGGAGTAGCAGCAGTAGCAGTAGTAGCAGTAGTAGCAGTAGTAGTCTGATGTGAAAAGGGGGTTCATAGAGATTAGGGATAGAAACTACATACATACACCATGCGATGGCGCAGCGTCCGTCGCCGTTTTTTTGTTCCTGGCCTTGAAACCGCGGTGCTGCCGATCTATCTAGATAGATAGGTAGTCTTGAATGACATGTGCGCACATCCATCCATCCATCCTTCAAACATAGGTACATACATACACTAGAAGGGAAAAAAAAAAAAAAAAAAGATAACGCCGTTCCAGAACACTGGATCCGGCACTCGGGAACGCGGCGCTGAAGAAACTAAACTCTACCTACTCGAAAGCCAGTCGTTCTTTTCCCCTATGAAGTAGATGATAAGCCCTTGATCGACAGGCCCGCGTCGCGTGGTGAACCGCGAAGCGTTTCCGGGGAAATTGGGCGGATGATCTTCCTTTCTAAGGATAGAAATAAAATAAAAAAATAAAAAAATAAAAAAAAACGCACGAGATCAAACAGCGGCTTGGATTAAAGATACGCTTAACTAGACGTAGAGAGATCGTCGGAGAAAAGTTCTAGAAATTCTCCTTTATGTTTTTTACGGGCATCGTACGACTACATAGAAATATACATAGGATCTATGTAGAATACGCTTATGTATGTATCCGTTGGCTTCAACTCGACTTATCTAGCCCACCAAGGCACTCGGAGAGACCCTTACATAGAAATGTCCCCAAGGATTTACTTTGCGAGAGAAATAATTAGAGTGTATAGTAATCGCAAGGAGAGGTTGGTAGCACCGTGGAGCTGGTGTGATGATTTAAAGCTCAATGTATATATAAACATCCCATGGTCACGCCACTCTCTCTTAAGACGGTATGGAGCTTGATTAATATGTACTGTATGTACCTGACTAACTCATCTCTTTTACATTGTTAGCAGGTAGTAATAGATGCTTCTATTGGGCTGCTGACATGTATGTATCCGCTGTTCGTGGTCAGTTGGTTGACGATAGCCTCAATACCCCTTTTCAAGACTCCCGACATTTCAACCGAACGGGGAACCGGCTGGCAACTAAGGCACACTAAACACAAAAGACTATTATTGATGACTTATGATTCCCGTAAAAATAACTCTATTCACCAGACACCAGACACCAGACACCAGACAGTCAAAGCGCCTAACGCGCTATCCCACCTAATAATAATACCCATGATCGCTAAGACCCGATCGATTTGACTACTGCTACGGAACGGCCCAACTAAATCGACTCGGCCCTCATCGCACTCCTCATTATTTTGCTTGATTTGAATCTACTGTACACCGCCAGCCAGAGGTCCTGAACTCACGTAGCTGAATAATACTAGCCATGTATTTTAAACAAAAAAAGGGGAAAATATTTCTATAGCACAATTGCCAATTCGGGCCTGTCGATGCCCTCTTCGCTCAGGTTCGGGTAATAAGGCACCATGGCGTCGGCGGCTTGCACGTACGCGTCGTTGTAGAGCCGCCAGTAAGGCTGCCGCACCTTGCGGGCGGGATGGAATAGACCCGCCCATACGTAGTTCAGTACGAGACCGGGTCCGACGGCCATCCGAATAGCTTCGATAGCTTCTACAATACGGTCTATAACGTGTGGGCTGGTTTCGAAGAGGTTGGGCCAGAGAAGGTTGAGTAAATGCACCATAGCGTCTTCGCAGCCTAGACCAACTACACCTAGTGCAATGTGCTTGACCACGGACGCGGCCGTCTGCCGATGGACCTGGTCACGGTCGATTAGGGCATCTTCCAGGAGCGGCGTCACGGCGTAGACGTAATCTTTGGCCATTTCTCCAATGTACTCGAAGAGGAATGATAAAGACTTGAGCACACCATTTTGAACGTTAAGTTCAGGGACCCGATACTCGTTCATCAGAGCAGGGAGCACTGTGAAAGGAGCACAAGTCTCAGCAACAATACCGATTGCGACAGCCGTGCAAACTCGGGATTGACGCTCCTGGACGCGCAGGTTGTTCAGTAAGGTAGCCAGCACATCTTGTGGTCCGATAGCTTTCGCGATGAAACCAAACGTGTTATTGGCTGCTCTTCTGATGCCCTTTTTGTGTGCCTTTAGCATATCCAATAGTTCGAAGCAAATTCTCATCCATTCTCTTGCGTTCACACTCTCTGGTCCCCGATCGGCAATACGGCCGACGAGATCGATTGTATTCTCCTGTACCTTTTCGTGACGGTTTCGTAAGATAGGAGTAAGACGCGGTAGTAGATCCTTGATTGGAGGCTGCATTTGGCTGATACCAACAACGGTAACAATGCTTCGGAGAGCCGCGAGGATTGAGCCAAGAACTTCAGGATACTCCTCTCCGAGGTATTCGTACAAGACAACGCCTAGCTTACCCATAAGGGCATCCTCGCCGCACTGCTTCATGACTATCGCAATCCTGCTGATGAGATCCGCGGCTTGCTGACGGATCGTTGCTGATTTGTTGTTGAGACGCCACAAGATTGTTGACACTATTTGGGGCAAATACGGCTTACAGCGCGTGCCTAGGGCGTTAACCACCGTGCCGAAGCCGTTTAGCATAATGACATCTTCGACACTTTGCTCCTGGAAGGAATGGAGAATGCCGTCGATAAGTCGCTCCTCCAACCTCTCACCAATGTCCGCCGCTCCTAAGCTGGCAACTACCTTCTCCACCGTCTCGACAGTCATCTTGCGGTAGGCCTCGCTCTCATCTTTGAGATTCCCAACAATTCGCTCTAGAATCTCGCTGACGCCAACCTTCTGGCCAATATCAACGGTTGTTTCCACCTGTAATAATAGAATTAGCAACGGATAGATAACGAATAGGGTTAAGGAGGTTAACGTACCACTTGTCGATAGTTTCGCTTATCTAGGGCCATCCGCCTAACCCAGAAACTCTTAAAGAACTCATCTAGAACGTGTTCCTTAAGGTAGCCAGCCGTCACACCTTCAGTGCCCGCACATTGAGATACAACCTTCAACACGACCTTCTTCATCTCTTCGTCTGGAGACGAGAATTCTCGGAGAAGGATATCCATTACTTGTGAGGTATAATAATTGGCATATTCCTCATCCATAAGTGGAATGATATAACCAACAGCCTTGAGAAAGCCAGCGAGACCCTTGCCGCGTTGCTTGCGTGCACCAGTCCATAGAGGGTTTAAAATATCATCGAAGCTTTCAATACCATAAGGGTTAGAGGCTTCAGCAAGAGCAGCAATAGCCAAACTAGTGACCGTCCGTACCTTTGTTTGCTCATCATTCAGGTTTGGGCCTATGCAGTCCACAAGACCTTTAAGGTGAGGTAGAACGGCACATCCCATTAGGATAGGAATCTGTTGCACGATCTTGACACCGGTATGTCGGGCTTGCCACGACTTCTTGCTTCGACATACTGCTCGTAAGAAAGGTAAAAGAGCGGGAATACCTAGCGCTGAGGCCACAACCGCGAAGGCTCTTGCTGTTGTGTTACGTACGTACTCGTCGACGTGGTCGATATCTGGCCTCATCGTGCTGATCATAGTGGCGAGACCGGCAGCTTTACTGAGATTGGAGATAATCTCTCGACCCTCGACTCTTGCATAATAATCTTGGTCAATGAGGAGCGGTTCAATAACGACTAGAATCTTGTGGACGTAAGGACGGACAAGGTCGTCAAGCTTCCATAAGATACGGTCGATTACTTTGACGAGCAAATGGCGTTCTTGGTCTTCCAGCGTCTTCTCCATCAGAAGAGGGAGAATCTGGTTGAACAGAGCCCCAGCACCGAACTGCCTTGCATTATCTGTGAGTTGTCTGAGAGCAGTCTTTCGCATAGGAGGAGTACCATTCTTGATCTTCAGGAGAAGCCTCATAATCTTTCTCTCCTTCAGCTCTTCAACGCTTAGGCTGTTTTCATCAGAGCCATCTGCCAGTTTGCCGAAGTAAGCCATATCTTCCTGCTTGAAAAATTGTAGCTCTCCAACGCCAGGGATTTCTTTGGGCATCTGGCTTCCTCCTAATCTCGTACTCTCCGGATCCTGCATCATGAAACCACCGTAATTTGGCGGTAGCGGTGTCGCCGCGACCCTATGGAGAGGGGCATGGCCGGTAGGATATCCCGATGGCGGGTCGAGAATCTTGAAGCCTTGTTCTTCGCCAGGAAGTAACGCATTCAACTCTTCATCACCAAGAATGCCACCAGGGCCAGATATGTCTGCTTTCGCTGCGCCAACTCCAAGTGAGGATGTGTGCATCGGTGTAGCTAAACCGCTATTACCGACAGGAGTCGCAGAGGGTGCTTGATCCCATCTCGATCTCTTCTTGGCGCCATCAGATGCGCCGGGGGTAGGGAGCGACGGCGCCTGGTCCCATCTGGATCTCTTGGTCTTCCCTTCGGCAGAGTCTGATGAGGGTTCATCCACAGCAGAAGAAGCAACATCCCATCTCTTCTTGCGTTTTCGCCCAGCCGTCACTGCCTCAGTAGATCCGGCGTCTGTGTTCTCTTTATCTCCGTTTTTGAGTGTTGCTTCGTGATCTTCATCAATTTCTTTCCCTTCCCGCTTCGCCTGAATAGCACGCTTAACCTTTTCTTCTTCCCTTTCTATTTCTCTCCGTTCCATAATATCTCGATATGTATCTCCTTCTTCGGCGGCGCCCCCTTGGCGGTTGAAGGCATCGGCTCTTGTCGGGGTGAGAACGCGATCGAAGCGACGTTTCTGGTAGTCAGTTTCGCGGTCAACGATCCTCGTGCTGTTTTCGCCTCTTCCTGCAAATGGATCATCCTCCTCGACTCCATTGCCGTGGGCGAATTCGTCAATCTGGGCACGCGTCGCGGTATACTGGCCAACTAAACGACGCGAGTTATCGGCATCTTCCATTTCTTCATCCTCGCCATCGCCATCGGCAACGGGGATAGATGTGAGATATCCTGCATATTTATCATCTCCAACACGGTCGTAAAGCTCTGTGTCGAAAGATTCGGTAAGCTTTGCCTTGGTTGAGCTCTCAGATCGCTGGTTCTTGGGGTCTCGGCCGCGCGACCCTTTCTTAGCAGCTGCAGCAGCGTTCCGCTCAGCCTGAAGCTTTCTAACGGCGTCAAAGTCAGCGTCTGACATGATTAACAGTTCAGCCGGACGCTGTCTTGACCTTTTATTAGATGGAAGCGTGAAGGGGAGAGGCTGATTGAAGATGAACG